GGGGAAGAAACACTTGACAATGCGATGTTGGGACGGCATTCGCTTTCGGATGGCGGGGCGAACGTGTTGCGCGCTGCGGTTGCGTGCTGCCCGGCTCCGTGCGGTTCGGCCCCGCTTTCGGGAGGGGGAAATCGGGGATTTTGTGGACGTCCGGTTTTTTTCATGGTGGCCGGATTTGGAGTTGGCTGTCACCTTTCTCGACTCACGGACCTCCTCATGTAGTGCTGTTTTATCGCGAAAATTGGGGATGGTACAGGACAGGTATAATGCTATGGGCTGAGAGGACAGACATTCTCGGTGAATATGAGGCGCGGGGTGCAGGTGTCGTTGTGTACGGTTCACTGGGCTCGTACTATTACCCTGGTCGACGTTGTCACGGCGCATGGAATGGGAAGGCTGAAGAGGCCGGGAAGGAATCATTCCATTCTACTCTGCGATGTTTGGTGGAGAGGATGATGTTTTGTATCTCGTGTACGATGAGACTGATCCCATCCACTCCTAGGTACCTAGAACTGACGAGTAGTCTACCCCGGGGTTGGTAACTAGTTACACGAGATCTCAGAATTTGTTGTCTTTGAGCTGGATGGTATCGATGTCTGGTTAGAGCAAGAGACCAACTCCTTTGCCAGCACAAGGGCCTCCTCAGCCAGTGTCTCAAAAGCTTCAACGTCTAAATCCTTGCATCCGGTACGGCGACTATGAGACGGCGCATTGGCATCAACAATGTCTTATTGAATATCATAGACAATGATCTAGAAGAAATGTCTTTGTCGGTTGATTAACGATTACTTTATCGACCTGATTCTTCAAAGCAGGGATAACAATCACTGTGTTTAGAGGGCCACAAAGACCAAGCTCACGGAACCGAAGTTGAAAGGGGCTTGAGGATGAAGTGATAGATAAATTCAGGATAGATTTCACAACTGACAGACCACACATCTCTACAAGATCAACCGCCTCTCGTAGATAGCATCAATCAGTCTTCATTTCACGTCCCATTCCTTAGTACCGGTTCTTGTTCGTCAGGACTAGCTTCCGACCTACTTCACTTTTGCATCAGTTTCATCTTCACCTTTGACTTAACCTACAGAACTCGATTTTTCTACCACAACTTCACGTTCACTCTTCCAGCCTGCCTGTATTTTCTGTAGCACCAAACTCAAAGCAATCACAGCCACGTCTCTCTCTCTCCAGTCTAAGTTCCACTCCTACTTTCTCTCACCAACAGCTATCCATCCCAGCTAACTACCCTCCCAAACCATGGCTGATCAATCCCAGAACAGCCAGACACCGGCCGCCACCAACGAATCAAGTGATTCAAGAGGCGTTGTTCCCCTCGAACTCTTCCTCGAAATCGCAGACCGCTACGTCGAATCCGCCTACGCCCGAGCCGCAGCCGAAGTCTCGACATGGCACGTCGAAGGCTGCCCAGACGCCATCGACTCAATCTACATCAGCGACAACCACGCCTACGACTACGCCTCCCAGACGAAGCGCTGGCGCCTCGTCAGCACCCTCGCCAACCTCCGCAGCAGGCGCGTCTCCGACATCGTCGACAAGACCTTTTGCAAGTTCCCTCGGCACCACCACGTGCCCCGTCACCACCGCACCCCGGAAAACGCCACAGAATGGTCTACAACGGGGCAGAGGAGCAGCGGCATCGCCAACCCGCCCAGACACGCCTGGGTCCTCCCCGACATCGACGTCTTCGTCCTCGACTTCAGAGCCGCGGACCGGCATAACAACGCAGACGGCGAGAACCCGGAACCCCTCGAGACCGCGATCCTCCAAACTCCACAGGAAGCCACGAGAGGACCGCTCCGCATGATCCGCAGCGTCGGCAGCAGCTTGAGAGACCTAATGACCGCCAGCGGAAAGCAGATCCGCGCGCTCGCGGCCTTGCCGGAGTTGAGGTGCGTGCGGGCGTGGTGCGCGATCCGGAGCCCCGTGCGGCCCGCCGGCGAGCCGCTGCACGACCACACGGCGGTTTTGCCTGTTGATCCGGCGATCTTGCCTGAGCTTGCTGCGGAGTTGGCGCTGAGCGAGACGCGGCTTTTGCTGTTGTGGGAGCCGTTGTTTGATGCTGGTGTGGAGATCACGGTTCGGCCAAGGTATGCTTTGCGTGGGGAGATTGAGCTCGTTCGTACGGATGAGGGTCTGCGGATGAGGTTTCTTGAGGAGGAGTGTAGGTGCTATCGGATTGAGCTGGAATAAGGTGGTGAATGGAGGCGTGGTTTGTGAGTGTCAGCGTGAGTTCTTTGGAGTTGGCGGAAGTGTACCCTTTGACTCCAGGCTGGGTACTCGATTTTTAAACTTGATGGTATACATGGTAGGTGGGAAGAACCGAGCGGGGGAGGCTAGATTATGATATCTTTGATACCCCGATTTTGATACCCCGATTTGAATCAAGTCGCTTGCGAAAGTTCCTGCTTTGAAGGCGCCTTGGTATCTTTCCTAACCAATGCCTGTTATTAAGCGATTCTACATGGATAAATACACGAGGTAGCGTTACTATACACTGCAAGATTGGAGAGTGTAAATGTGAACATGTCCCTATGGTTACATTGCCAGATAGATAACGTAGTTTAGACAGCGATTAGAGACCAAGTGTCCTCTGCATTACGATGTAGCTGCATCCCATCGTGCTCTAGATGGAGCTCACGGAAATCTCGGTCACAGCCGGTTGGGCCTATATCGAGTTATCAAGGTATGCGTTGAAGACCCTGCGTTCCGATACTGGAGGTCATCAGGGTGTCTCAAATTATACTTTCTACTCTGCTTGTTCCCGCTCGAAGCTCGAATTTTCTGTACTTAAAGAACTGCCGGATATACATGTCTTAGCCCAAACTAAGAGAAACCTGCTCAAGAAGGTTGTTGACGCCATGACCTCTACGCATACATCGCTATGTAGAAGAATTCAAGAAGTCTTCCTATCTACCACCACTACAGCAGCTGACCCCGTCTCTCCCTCCATCCTATCGCAGCATTGACACCTTCGGTACAAGCAGTGCTGATCCTGGCTATACGATGTCGACTAAATCCTATGCCACATTGCTCTTCGCTTTCGTCATTTTCTATGACAACCTTGAAAGACCAACACCAACCCGCAGCTTGAGTCCCCCTCCACAATTGGATACTATGCGCTGGTCCACCAAGCTTCACAATACCTTCGAACGCATTAAATTTGGTGTCAGAGGCACCACTCTCCCCAGCGGCATGCTTCCGTACGAAATATGGCTCTTAATCGTCGATGCCGTGGTTGACGACTTGGAATCGACAGTCGAGCCATTAACATGGGTATTGACCGGATATGAGTCCGAAAAGGTGACCGATGAGAATCGCTGTCTCATGCTCGATCAAAGCAAACCCCCCTGGTCTTACAGAATCGAGCACTTCTTGATTGACGACGCCAGAAACTGGGAAAAGAGCAAAATCAAGCATCGACAAGATGCCATGGAAGTCCTGTATAACTTTACACTGGTCAACCGCAGAACTCGAGATATTATCAACAGACGACTACCACGATGCACCTTTCTCCATAGGAATTGGTTCGAGCGCGGTAGGCCACTGGAGAAGCCTTCGACCTCAATACGAATCGTCCCGAGCATCGATCAGTTTCCTTACTTTGTCAGACGTCCTGCTCCGCATTCTCACATGAAGCGTTACAGGGCTGTTTTCAGTCCTTGGGAATGCCACGGCTGCGTGGAACCTTTCTCTCATGTTCAGACGATACTGCTTTCGGCGATTCTGCTCAGGCCCGGCTGGGTTTACCATCTCAAACACCACTTCCAGTACTTGCAGAAAATGCCTAGTTTGAGGAGTGTAGAGTTCAGAGCAAAACGACCGTACAGGGAAGCGGACGAAACTACTTACTATACAGTAGAGGACAGTCTTCTCACTTTTCTGCCTGGGGATGAGAATTTGGACATGGACGAGATTATCTCGATGTGGAGGTCGCTCAAAGACAGAGGGGTCAGGTTCACTGCGAGCCATTCCAAGGCTTTGGTCGAGTTTACCTGAAAAACACCTTTAGACGTTTCCACGAGGTCCCCTTCCCAGAATGCGAGCTGAAGTCGTTGAAAAAGAAAGGCTTTGGACATGACAATGACAGAACTCAGGTATTTATTCATGTGAAGAAGACATAGCCAGAAAGGTGTACAGCCCGTGCTAACAGCCAACGCAGTGTTTGTTTTTGCCTGAGTCTTGACACTCTGGGCGATAATTGGAGCTTTCTATGGAGTGTTCGGCGCTAGATAAGTCAGCTTGGCTAAGAATCCATAGGGACAGGCTGCACAATAGTGAGGCGCAATTCCTCAAGTTGCTAATGATATTCGAAGCTGCCTTAGAAGTATGGCACTCGATAGGTTTGAAGTGTGCTGTATATAGACGGCCTTCCAAGGATCGCAACCGACGAGTTTCGACAAACTGGATCTCGACCAACGACGTATGGCCTAGGTCAGACCCGGACATACGGATTACTCCGTAGGCAGAGAAAAGAAGACATCGGTCTAGTGAAATGATCTGTAGATTAATAAAGTCATTGATACGAGATCTGGGCGAAGCGACTCGACTCAGCCGCACTTGATGGGTACCGCCGCCTTGCAAAATCACCGGGGATAGCGGCAGGTACCTGGGTTCCCTTCTCGCTCTCGCGCGGCTGATTCAGCGTTTACGCGTCTCCCCGCCACTTCGCTTACTGAACTCTGATATGAATGCAAGATTGTGATGTCCTGTGAGCCTGTGAGGTGAATGGCGGTGGAGTTATGCCTGACTCGCCGGGTCTATGAAGGCCCGAGGTACGGGACAATCAGGAGCGGAACTATGTATTGGCTTGAAAGCCGTAGAATTCTCATGAACATACGCAAGGACAAGAAAGAGCCTAAACTAAGACCTAAATCCATGCAAAGAGGTTCCCATAGGATCAGTCAACAATCCTACTCGTACTACGTTAAAGGTGCTTAGGCAGGCGACGGTACTTTCTGCATTGGCCAATTGGTCGGTCAACCGGGTTCATCGGGGGAAAGCAGTCGAAGCGATGGGGGACTGTGCGGATTGCAACAGGAAATCGTGACAGAGAAATGGAGAATTGTCGAAGCGAACTTAGCGAAGAAGGCAGAGAGGGGCAAAGTGACACCTTGGCTCAACTCTGTACCGGCGGGATGTAACCGGGGCGAGTTCAACCATGTTGATTTCGCAATCTCGGAGGCCCACCTGGAAGATACCTTAGAGGGCGGCATATAGGCCCCCAACGGACATGGTGTAACTCGACTGAGAGATTTTCTGTCTAGCAAACTTATGCAACGCACAGAGTAGTTTGCGGTGCCGCGGTGCTTACCAGTCAACTCTAAACAGCTCATGACGAAAGTAATTGAGAGATTTGTCGAAGGTGGTCTGAGATGTACACGTGGTAGGAGAGACATCAGACGAACTAGTGTAGGGAAAGGTCTGGGCCAACATTTTTTGCATGACACGAACCACATCCATTTTCTCACAGTCACCAGTACCAAGACACCGGATCCAACGGCGCGGGAATGTGGGAACTCCCAGCCCCGGCCCGTGTAAGCTTTGGGTGCCCAGCTTGGCCAAGGTCAAGCCTCGGCGCCTGCCAAAGACAATCGATCGGGCGGGATTGGCTCGAACCAAAGGGGCGGGAGGAGAGGGAGGGACGAGAAGCAAGGAGCTTAAAGCAAAAAAGAGGCTCAAGGCGCCTCGAACGTGTTCGATGATGATCAATGTGAGTCTATACTAGTTTAGTAGTGGCAAAGATCGATCGTTTGTGGTGCTTCTGGCAATGTTCCAGAGCGAAACGCCCCGACAAAGACTTTGTGTGTTGTTTTTACCCCTGAGTGAAGGCTTGCAGCCGAAGCTAGAGTTTGAAGTTGTTTAATGAGGGAACGAAAAAGCATTGTGCAATGTTTGATTGGCTATACCCCGCACCAGACTACCACTTGAGTTCTCGCCCAGGAGCTGGGCTTTGCCATCCATGACGCCTTTTTATCCCACTTGACGGGATGATCGAAGCATAATAAACAATGTCCGTTCGGCTGCAACTTCATTAATTAGACGAGAAGAGAGTGTCAGAGAAAGAAATGACAGGTGGGGTACTCCGACCTAGGCGAACACAACCAAATAGGGTTTATCGTACTCAGTACCTTACACTATGGATAGCTCCTCTTTCGCTTTCTTCTGTTCTGTTCCCCTCGGACACCGATACAATAGCAAATTGAATGGGCCTGTAAAGAAGACAATTAGAGAGTACCACGGTAAGGAAGACTCTCAGACTTGTCCATTGCAAAGAAAGGGTGAAATGTTGACAAAGAGATTGAGACACCGAGGGAGTCGAAGAGTCGAGAACTGGTCATCATCCCTGAGCAGAGTTGGTTCTGGACCGCTGCCTGGACCACACGCTCGGCCCCATATGGGGTCCCTTCCATTTACCGGCAGCAGCTAAATCCACTGATGTGACATAATCTGGTAGGGCTACGTCCCAGAGAAATCCTTGGAGATCCTGGTGTGGTGGTGTGAGACATGTCGACAGGGGCGAGTTTGTTGCTGCCCGGTCGAATTTAAACCACTCATCTGGGGTCGTTTCCAATGTCAGCGTATCCACCAATACAATGGGCACCGTTGTGTGATCCAACTTCCGCGCTTCCGCGGCTTCTGCAGAAGAAGGGGGGAGGAAACTTGAGAAACTGTTGGAACTTGGAAAGACTTTTTGACAATGTTGTTGGTGTGGGGGGACGCTTCAGCACACTAGATCCTAATCCCTTCCAACTTCTAGGCTCCCCCCCGAATCCCCTGGTCCTATCAGGATGCAAAGGAGATTCCATCATTCGTAAGTGCTCTGTCCAAAGGGCCGGGAGTGTGAGACACCACGTCTTCTAGTTTAATATCTCTGATGTGGAGGCTTGCATACGGGAGATCATCACTCGTCTCAAGTTGAATACCGCCAGCGGCAAAATATCCCGACATCAGCAGGACCGGGGGCAAACAACTCTAACTAAGTAAACAAGATGCAGAATATATAATATCCCAACTCTCGCGTTCCCTTCCTGTTGTTTCTCTTTTCCTCTTCACCCAAAATCGACCTTTTGCGTCTGTCACTCTTTTACACCCCAGCGGTACTCATCGACGCCTTGGCAGGTTCCATCCTCCGTTCACTCCTTCAAATCAACATCCAAGAATCCCGGTGATTTCCAAAAACCCCTTTTCAACCAAACCATCAAAATGCGTTTCTCCGCTGTCGCCGTTGCCGCTCTCGCCACCCAGGCCGCCGCCTGGAGAGGCCAAGGCCCCCCGTCCGGCTCCTACTGGGGCTGGGGTAACACCGGCGTCGAGGCCAGCAAGGCCGCCGACGACTGCTCCGGCGCCGAGGTGACCTCCACCTCCACCATCACTCTCCCCGCCGCGACCGCCCCTCCCGCCGCCACCTCCGCTGCCCCGGTCGTGACCCCCTCCGCCGCCGCCCCCGTCGAGGAGGCCGTCAGCACCACCTCCTCCGCTGCCCCGGCCGCCACCACCGCTGCCTCCAGCGGCACCTCCGGCCTCACCTCGGACCAGCAGGCCGCCCTCGATGCCCACAACGCCGCCCGCTCCGACGTCGGCGTCCCGGCCCTCGAGTGGGATGCCACCCTCGCCGCCAACGCCCAGGAGTGGGCCACCCACCTCCTCTCCGTCGGCTCCCTGACCCACTCCCAGGTCTCTGACCAGGGCGAGAACCTGTACATGCAGTCCAACACCGACAGCCCCTACATCAACGCCGCCAACGCCTGGATCGCCGAGAAGTCTTCCTACAACGGCGAGACCATCTCCGAGTCCAACTACATGGGCTTCGGTCACTACACTCAGATCGTCTGGAAGAGCACCACCAAGGTCGGTCTGGCTGTTGCCACCAACTCCCAGGGCACCTACGTCGTCGCCCGCTACTCGCCCCCTGGCAACTAGTAAGTTTGAGTCTTGAATGGAAATAAAAGCATATGAACAGGCGACTAACAAGGGAAACAGCATCGGCGAGAAGCCCTACTAAACGTCGACAAGGACGCCGCCATTGGACGGATTTTGGAAAATGGCAAACGGGATCACGCAGCGACAACAAGGCAAGGCACCTGTTCCGGTAGCTACGTTGGCTGGGCCGAACACAACCAAAAACTCTTTTCTTTCCATTCTTGGACATTTTTTGTGTACTTGGGGTTGAGATATTTTCCCGCGACTTGATGTCGGATCCATTCCAGGTCTAGGCCGATCGAGAAACGAGGAAAAGGGGGTAGATCCCGGGTCTCTTTTACAAAACCAACCGCCCTTTGGCGAATTTCTTGCATGACTATAACGAGACATAGCGTAAATGCCTCACGATGCAGCTTCAATTTCCCGCAGTGATGTGATGTGATTCCCCAATTGCACTTGGTTGTGTACATTTTGGAGTGGTGTTGTATCATGAAGTGAGGCTCGGGAACCTCTCATTATGGCCTTTACCGAGCTGCTGAGCGTTTTTTATACTGGATACTAGTTGACATTTGGAACGAGTCGGCTTGGCATACAAAAGCCTTGTGCGAATGCCGTGTTTACATAGCCGTCCGTTAAAGTTCTCCGGGAAGTGGAGGAACGGCAAGTGGACGGGTTACATCCACGGTCCCCCGCTCTCTGGAATAGTAACGACAAATTCTATGGGCGGAGTGTCTACTTTACCTACCCCTAAGATTGAATCGTGGAGAAAGCAGAAATCGGGGTAACTTAAGAGAGCTTGTTGTCCTTTACTTGAGGGCTAGGAATACCTCTATTAACACTCGGTGATTTCCATTCAGGTTCTCCAGCAGAGTTTCGATGCACGAGCTGTTCCTTCTCATTTGACTTCCCTCGCGAATTACACAAATCGGGCGATAGTCTAAATCTACCTTAATCGATCATTATACGCTATAATCAAGATAAAATGGCATCTTCTGCTAACATTACTTTCGACGGTAAATCATCTCACGAGGTTTCCATCGCTCATGATGTGATACTAAAGAAGTATTCTAGAATACCTCGGGTTGAATGCATGCCTCTACGAGTGGGCAGACAGCTACGACACAAAAGACTGGAACCGCCTTCGCAAGTGCATCGCCCCTACCCTCCGCGTAAGCTCACGATCCTCCCTCCAACGACACGCAATCTAACACAACACTCACATCGAAGATCGATTACCCCTTCCTCAACAAGATCTGGGAAGCCATGCCCGCAGAAGACTACGTAGCCATGATGAGTAGCAAACCCATGCTTGGCAACCCCCTGCTCAAGACGCAACATCTCGTTGGCGCCAGCCGCTGGGAAAAGATCTCAGAGACCGAGGTTGTGGGCTATCACCAGCTCCGTGTGCCGCATCAAAAGTACACTGACGAGACTTTTAAACAAGTCGCCGTCAAAGGTCATGGGCATAGCAGCAATAAGCATTGGTACAAAAAGGTTGACGGCGTGTGGAAGTTTGCGGGGTTGAGTCCCAAGATGCTCCTGACCGAGTATGATTTTGCGGCTATAGCTGCCGAAGGTCGTGACTCGCTTTTAGCTGGGATAGTGAAGGATGTATAATAGATGATGGCGGCGCCAAGTCTTTAGAGTACTTAGATGATTAGTTAGTTAGAACTATACCGAATTTTAGAAGGTTTCATCATGCCTGCCTTTGCATCTGCAGCTTGAGATTAGACCTCATGGTCAATGAACCATTTGAAGAAGCATAGGACCTCGCCTCCGTCGATGCTGCTGAAATCCAAGTTGATACTGGCCTAATATTGCTCGGCCGTTTCATCGAGTCCAAGGCGACTATCCTCCCTCAGTGTTATTCAACGACTGCTCGTATGCGAGCCATACCGGAGTATCCTCTCTCAGATTCACGCGCATAGAGTGCGGGCCTGTGCACCTTACGTTGGTTCCGAGATGCTCTCCTCTTAGCAGATTTGACGCAGCGTTAATGCTCATTCAACTACTAGTATCAGTCCGTGTACGTAGGAAGCCGCGTAAGACATCGAGATGTTGTAGGCATGCAGTTGCGGCTATTTCCGTGTCGATCAAGGTGATCTTATCCATGATCTGCACCGGGCGAAATACAGAAAGCACTACTTGCTAAAGCAGTGATGCCACCTTCTAGAAACATCCGCTAGCAAACTCATTGAGCGACGAAGACTGTCTGCAGGTAGGTGGTTGATCTGCGAGCAGAAAAAACCTACTCTTGAACTCCACGTTTCCACTCACGAGGTTAGTCGCGCCACCGCTATTCACCTAACCGACCTTGCACTACATTATGCCGATCCTGGCATCCGTTTGCAGCACTTAACACACAGGAAGCGCTTCACATCGACAATGATGAGGTCGGCTGCCGCCAGCACGGCCCTGCAAACCTTACTTAAATGCCGTATTACCGTTTCATGACTCGAGGAAGCCTGCCGCCTGGCGATATGCCCAGGCACCGCCGTTTCCGGTGAGAAGAGATGGCTTCAACCTGGTAATACACGTGTGAGTCGCCTGTCACCGTTATCGTGCTACGTGACTAGTGCCAGTTGGTCTCAGTCGCCCAACCACACATCATGCATCTCGTCGAGTCTACAGAGCGAAGTCATATCCGAGACAGCGAACAACATTTTAAAAGGCCATTGAGCAAAGTTTCATCAAAATTAATCACTAATTACTAGAGGTTATAAACAGCAAGATGTACTCAACATTAGCCAGCCAAAAGGAAAAAATAAAAGAAGTCAAAAACATACACACCCCAGCTCCTAGCTAGAAACCGTATTATCTGTAAGCTACTACTGAGCTGGCTTCCTCCCAATGGTGACTGTGTACTTGACAAAAATCCCTTCCTCCGCCGATGACGTCTCAAGACACTCCTTTGTCAATTTGGAAACATCTTCATCAGAGTATAAGTCCCGCTTTGTCAAAATCTTTCTGAGAAGATCTGGGAATGCCTTGAGAAGAGTTTGTTGCGCATAACAGCCGACTGCTGCGCTGGGAATATTCTTCTCAGACGGCACCATCGAGAACTCAAACGATCGCGTAAGAAGCACTTCGAGCCCGGCGGCTCTCATGTGATCCCCGACATGATCACCAACTAGAATATCCAGTCCCATAGCCTGCGACTCCTCTAGAACTGCTTGGTGCCAGGACCAATTTCCGCTGAGCTTTGTCTGTGTACCTTGGCGATAGTACTCCCAGGAGCAGTCCTGATGCTCGACGATGGCACCGGGCTTCAAGAGGTGGTGGACGCGTGAAAAGTACTCTTTCCAGTCGTCGATCGCGAGGAACAGCATACGCCCGAACACGTAGTCCAAGCTTTGCTCCTGAAGTCCCTGCTCTGACAGATCTTCCATGATGTTGCCTTTCAAAAAGGTGACATTGGTCGGAGCTGAGGCTTTGACATGGTCGGGGACGGCAGATAGATCAATCCCGTACGCCCGAGAAGAAGGACATTGTCTTGCTAGCTGGGTTGTGGCTACCCCAGTTCCACAACCGATGTCGAGGATTTTCGACTTGCTCGGGAGAAGTCTCACGTCGAAGAGAAAAGGCTTCCCACCCAGCATAGACTGAATGGCAAGGGCCTGCTCATCAAGACGAGCTTGCTCGGGAGTACTAGCATAGTAAGCTTGTGTAAAACGAGACGCCTCGGTGGGGTACCAGTAGTACTTACTCATTGGGCAAAACGTATGGAGAAGAAGTGTCATGATACGTGCGTTCGGCGTACTGCGATGATGTTGCCATGATGGATTTTTATAAAACTTTTGCAAGCTTTGAAGAACAGGATATCTGATTGGATTATTGTTGTCTTGTGGTTGAATAGTAGGTATGTTTAAACAGAAAGTAAATTACATGATAGATACTCATACCCCTTTGCAACTTATATAGATATCAGACTCCAGACTCCAGACTTTCTATCGACGGGGCCATTGAGGGGTAAATTGTGCTATCATTGCCATGTTAGTCGAAACCTTGTCCCAAAGTAGCGTTGTGCTATTTCGAAATGTTGAGCAATTACGCGGCAATCGAGGTAGATTATCCTCACTATCTGTCATGCGAGACCTACTCCGAATAGCCTCACTTTAAGTTTGATGGATTCCGCCATTATTGTAGGCCGTGTAGTTGAGGGGTAAGTCCTTTTTCACGGATGGCTCGAACCTTATCCTGAATGCAGCGTTCTTTCAATACGAATCTGTTGAGTCATGAAGATAATCAATCTCACGATCTATTAACGATGAGAAGCCTTTGCAGCACGTGTGTGAATAGCTTCATTTTAAGTTTGAGACATGCCAGGGGGCCCGAGCAGTATAAAGATGCATTCGCTTGAATTTTGGAATATCTATTCCGCTGGATCGCCAGCGTTCGCTTGTGAGAGAGAGGGATAAGCGCGTAAGGTAGCGTCTTTTAGACTTCTCACGATACTGGGCAGAAAAATCAGATTTTAGACCGAAAATCAGTCCAGGTGCATCCGACGACAAGAAACTAAGAGCAACACAGTTCGCACCGCCAATTCTCCAAGGAATGTGGGTAAACTCATGATTGCGGCATCTTGTATGACTGGTGGAGTTCTCCCCGTGCACTTGACTTGAATAGCGGCGGCTGCGGTTGATCAATTTGTGAACAACATATCGTATAGAGACAAGATAAGCAATGATCCTCAATATTCCCGTAAGATATCCGAGTGCATGAATCGTGTCAAGGGAAGCCCTCTTGGGTCTTCGAGGGTTTCGAAGCTTGCAGCTGGCTGGGTTTCCAGAGTGAATGGCGCCGAGCCCTTAAGACCTTGAGGACAGGAAGAACGAGGTTGAGGAGCGAGGACCGCAGTCTACGTGCTATGATTTCTTCGCATCCGAGTATGCATAAGTTGGGCTACTTAAAAGTAGACTGACATGCTTCACTCTTGCGTTCTCCGTCACTCCTTGATACATCATCTTTCACCCAGCTGAGCACCGTCCACTCATCTTCAAGCTATCTTTTGTCCAAGTCCTAGCTTGGGCTTATCCTACAATCATGTTGATGGGTCATCTCCATCTTGTGTCCGGTCAATGGAAACATCTCCGGCAGCTGCTCGACTCGCATTCCCATGTCGTTGTAGACGGCCAGACTTTATCACTTTCCGACGTGGTGGCCGTCAGCCATTATCACGCCTCGGTCTCTTTAACATCGGATACCAACACCATCAACAAGGTCCATGAAAGCACCGCCCTGTTGCGCTTGAAGCTTCGCCAAGGAGCCACAATCTACGGCATCACAACAGGATTTGGCGGAAGTGCCGACGTGCGCACCTCTGACCACGAAGAACTGCAGAGAGGACTACTGCAGCTCCTCCAAGTCGGTATCCTTCTACCTTCCGACAAAGGATCAGATTTCTATGGCGAAAGTCATCTTGGAACGCAAGCCTGGAGAGAGCATGCCCTTCCTACCTCCATTGTCAGAGGAATGCTCCTCGTTCGGGTCAACTCTCTGCTGCGTGGCCATTCTGGTGTCCGTCTCGAAGTTCTAGAAGCTATGTTGACCCTGCTGGACAATCATGTCACTCCTATAGTCCCGCTGCGTGGCAGCATCTCAGCTTCTGGGGACTTGATACCTCTATCTTACATTGCTGGCGTTTTGGAGGGCAACTCGGACGTCTACGTTGCTGTCGGCGCGCAAAGACCAAAGTTCATGACTGCGAAAGAAGCCTTGAAAATGATCGGCCTCGAGCCGGTGCGGTTCGAAGCCAAGGAAGCCCTGGGTATCACAAATGGTACTGCTACGAGCGCCGCAGCGGCCTGTGTCGCCATGCACCAAGCTCATCAACTCGCCACGATGTCGCAGTTCCTTACCGCCATGGCAACCGAGGCACTTCGAGGCCGGCAGTCGAACTACCACCCGTTCATATCCCAGTGTCGTCCACATCTGGGACAGGTGGAGGCTGCGTCCAACATACTACGTTTTCTCTCTGGATCCAAGTTGACCAGAAAGGGAGACGACCATGCCGAAGGCCTCGTACAAGATCGATATCCTCTTCGGACCGCTCCCCAATGGATCGGTCCCTTGCTTGAAGACTTGATGTTAGCTCAACAGCAAGTACAAGTTGAGATCAACAGCACCACGGATAACCCCCTCTTTGACGTCGAAACCGGAACCGTACATCAAGGAGGCAACTTCCAAGCGCTGGCTGTCACTTCCGCCATGGAAAAGGTCTCGTCCTCCATGCAGCTGTTGGGTAAACTCATGTTCGCCCAATGCACAGAGCTTCTCAACGCCAAGCTCAACGATTGCCTGCCGCCCAACCTCGCCGCCGACAACCCGAGCAAGTCTTTCACTACCAAGGGGTTGGACATCACCATGGCAGCGTACATGTCTGAGCTGGCCCACCTATCCCACCCTGTGTCCGCGCATATCCAGAGCGCCGAGATGAACAACCAGTCGGTCAACTCGCTCGCGTTGATCGCTGCCAGGAACGCGTTGGAGATGGCCGAGATCTTGTGCCTCATGGTGGCAACGTACATATACGCCCTCTGTCAGGCTCTCGACCTGCAATGTCTCCATCTCGAATTTTGCAACGTAGCGAGGCCCGCGATGCTAGAAGTTGCTCAGAACTGTATCGGGTTTCCCAGAACCGCCGATGGAGCGGACGACATTGCCCAGCGCTGTGGCGAGATCCTGCTCCAGAAGTGGAACGGCCTGGCCAACCTCGACGTGGAAGATCGAGGCCAAGCTGCTGCACGAGAAGCGAAGGGTGGACAGCTCGAGGTCTTGGCCCCGTACTTCGAGAGTATGCGGCCTGAGGAGTTGATCGTTGCCATCAAGGCCATGGACGCTTATACCAAGCAGTCCGCCGAAAGAATCAGCCATGAGTATTGCAAGACACGCTTACGGTTTCTGGAGAATCCGAGCACAGGCGCATATCTCGGGGTTGCTTCAAAGGCAATCTACAAATATGTAAGGAAAACTCTGGGTGTCCCGATCCATCGCGGTTTACAAGACTATCCAACAACGTCGGGGACCAACGGAAGCCCCGGTGAACCGGGGAAGAAGACCATCGGCACCTTGACCAGCGAGATCTACGTTGCGTTGCGCAATGGGTCAATGCACGACTTGTTGATGTCGACAGTTTCTAGTTTAGACTCTAAGTAGGACCCTGAGCAGTGTGAAAGATTATCCTGTTACCTGTAATGGTTCTTTGCTAAAGAGCCACTCTAATCTCTTTCACGCCATTGAACAAATGCTTTATGGACCTAGTGCGCTACATGTGTGCAGGAGAACTTTTTGATATTACAGATTCTTATGTGGGCAACCGGCACGCCGGCCAGGCCATGATTTTATATAGTACATCGTAGAGTGGAAAACAGCTATAAGACAAGCCAAGAAGGTCCCTTTCCAGGTGGGGGGTTTCGTATCATCTTACACTTTGCACGTGCGCCGCGCCGTCATACATCATTGAGTTTCTTTCTTCCCAACAGAATTTTCCCCCTCCCAAACAGTCATTGAAGTTGAATTTAGGCGTTCACGAAGCCCTTGACGTTGCTCAACCACCGGACATACTCGCGCTGCTCCTTGACGTCAATGTAGTCGGGCGCGAAGACGGCCAGGGCCTGGGTGATGCCGCGCTCCTCGAGGTAGCGCTCCATCAGGATCTGCAGGTCCTCGTCGAGGCTGCCGAAGGGGGGACCGGGGTAGATGTCGCTGCGGGCGTGGGCGACCTCGGCGTTGGAGGCGTGAGCGAGCTTGCCGTCCTCGTAGTAGAACATGTTGTCGACGACGATGGCGCCATCCTGAGCGGTGGCGTCGATGTTGAGGGCGCCGGGGGTCTTGCCGGGCTTCTCGACGACGATGCTCAGGCGGCAAGGGGGAGCGGCCTCGTCGAGGTCGCCCTCCTCCTCCTCGAGCTGCTCTTCGGCGTTGGCGGAGCGGGCGCCGCCGGATGACTGGACGCCAGACTGCTTGTTGGGGTTCTGGACGTCGGACTCGAATTCCTCGTCCTCGAGGGCGCGGTCCTGGTCGTACATCTCGGGATCGTAGTTGGCGAGGTCAGCGATGGAGAAAGTGATTGTGATCCTAAGGTTTTTCTGTTAGTTTACCGTTTCACAGTGTCTGCTAGACGATGCTCGGAATGCAAACTTACTTCTCCTCGCCAAACTTGCGGATGAGCTTGACCTCCTCCTTGCCAGGGGTGTCTTGGAGCTCAAAGGGGCTGTTGTCGATGAAGTCCTTAACGCTCGCGGGCAGCTGCTCGTTTTGCTTCACCTCCTCCTCGAACTGAAGCTCGCTCTCGAGCTTGGCGACAAGCTCAGCATCGGTCTCGCCGGCGGCAGATTTCCTGAAGGCAGAGCTGGAGAAGGCTGATGCGCGCTGGGTCTGAACGGCAGCGCTCCATGAGGCGGCCTTGATGAAGGCACTAGGGCGCGCGGTCTGTCTGAGAGAAAGGCGGGAGAGAGCTCTGGGCGCGGAGCGCGCGACGGATCTGATGGAAAGCATGATGGGCGGTGGACTGAGGTGTTGTGTTGAGAGATCGTGATGGTCAAGGCAAGGGGAGGTGCAAAAGCTTGTTGGAGGAGGGTGGAGGTGGATTGGCTGGATCTGCCAGGTCGCAAAAAAGCTTTGGAGAGCTCCCAAAATTTTTGACATCAGATCACAATTCGGCGAAACCTTTTGCCGGGTGACACTGCACCAGCCGGGCGCTAGGTGGAGCGGAACCGTCAGGGACTGGACGGCAGGGACCATTCTGCAAACACTTTGTCAAGTTCAGGCACCAGACCAAAACTCCACTGCATCTGGAATCGATCCACAGAAGCATCTTGATTTTGACGTTATCGATACGGAATCTGAGCTAAGCTTCAATAGGTAGCAACAGGATCCAGATGTACAGACACCCAGAATCCTCCGTGTGAAGCTGGACTCGTCTTCAAGAAACCGTCTCATTGTAACAGACATCAATGTTCAAGGAAATGGTAATAAATGTTTCTAGCTGGCCCGCAGCTAGCCTACCAGAGAATGGTTCTATCGTTTTCACACTCCTCGTCCATGTTAATTTCCCCCTTCCTTTATCCTACTCCTAGTGAAAACTGATGTGGCGTGACACTGATGATGGTCGAGGGATGCGACGGACCCTCTCTTTACACTTCCAACAGTGATTTCGGGTACAGCTGCGGTCACTACCTATGCCGGCGTCACAGCTTCCAAAGACTCCGTTCTTCTTGGCAAGGAAGCAGGGTCTTTCCGATATCAGGACCGTATCTTGGTGACTGCATACGTTGCAGACGCGGAGGTGTGTAATGTATTTGCACATGGCTTGCTAGGTGTCTATATAAGCATCTGTCTTTAGTGCGTCAGACTGTAGGAGGTGGCTCACATTACTGAGAGGCTTAGCTCAACGATGGAAGGCTTATCGCAAGTATTGAGAAAGATTGAAACAGCTGGAAAGATTGGCGAGACGGTCTAGACAATGAGAATTGCAGCACTTGTAGAGTATAACGCTCCAACAGTGATGAATGGGAGCGCGGAGACCCAGAGATTCGGCTCTATGATATACCCTTAGAGATGACCGAGCGATCCTGCGTGACAGGGATCCCGCCCGAGATCCAGCTCATCGATCCAGCTCAACAAGAGCCCGGCCCCGGGCCGCCATCGTCGTTCAACAGCATGATGCCCTTCTTACTCTAAGCGCCCAGCAAAACCTTGCTCCTTTGTCCTGCGACATTCTCAGACGCTGTTCTGTTCACAGCATCTCACCATTGTGAGAACAGCCTTGGATCGAGTAGAGTAGATGGGTCCATCCCGTCCACAAGACTCTGCAGGCGTGTTACCGTCGAAAGCCTCGCAGAGGAGTAGGCCGGCGGTGTAATGTAGCACTTGGAACTCGAAGGGAAGCTGGGTTTAAGTATAAAGTGGGATAACGATTCGTTGACAAGGTGGTCCCAATGGCCTGGTCTAGGAGGCTTGGGGCAGATAAGATGCATGATCTGGACCTCCTTGGCCAGTCGGGCATGGACAGACGACACTGTGGAAAGGCGTTGTGCAGTGAAGCTGTAAGGTTAGGACCTTTCGGTTCTCGGCATCATCGTGACTATTGGCGTGCAACATGTGATTCGATGGTTGGGCGATCTGGGGCGAAGATGATCATATAATACTAGGCTACAAGGATCTCAGGTAGGGTTTGCCGAGCCTCACCCAAAGTTTCGGAAGTGACTGTTTCATACAAAAACCGCCACGTTGGCTCTTCATATGACGCTGCTTCGATCTCTGCCGCCCGCCTCTTTCGCAACCCCCCTCCGAAGAACCATCGGTATGGCGCGCGATTCCTATGAACCCACATGCTCTCCACGTTTGGGGCCCCTTTGCCGAATCCCCCTTTGTGTAACGGCACAGGAGAATCATGGCTCAGACGCTGACGAGCCAGTGATTTGGCTATGCGTGGTCTGCTGTGATCCGAGCATTGGGCCTTTCGCACCTCAACATGCACGGTTGCTGTATGTAACCGGAGAAATTTGTCTGTTGGCCAAACAAGAACTCCGATACAGTGCCTGACCTGTCTGAGACATTGCCCGCGAAAAGTCCGCCCTTCTATAGTGGCACCGTACGAGGAGCCGGATACAGAAATTGGAGCTGACGGTTAATCCCCCATCCTTTCTCCCGGTGTAATCGATGATGCTGCGTCAAGGCCTAGCGGGCTCGTGGCCTCATGTTTTCCCCCAAACGCCGAAAAAGAAAACGCCATGATCATGCTGTAAAATGCCAAAAACTAAACCCTGGGAGGGAAGCTGGATGGTCTGACGTTCCCGTCACTCGTGATCTTGACCCAGGCGAGGTTGGTGAGGTAAGCCCATGAACCCTCCCAGCGGTCGAGTTGGATGATGTTGGACGACGTTGTGAGGTCAGGAAGGTCTACAAAGATGTTAGAATGCCGCAAAAGAAAGACACCTTGTCGGGAGCCAACTGACAGAATCCGATCTTGTACTCTTCTTCAAGGTTCGAGATTCTCAGCTTGAGCAAGTCTTCCTTGGCACTTGCAGGGCGGCCGGCACGGCGGGTCTTCTTAACCTCGGCGTACTCCTCATCGTACTGGTGCACAAACCTGGCAACGTGTCAGTGTTTGCTCAACATATGTGGGCTGTTCTGCGACGTACTTGCTGATGAGCTCCTGAACGGCGGCCAAGTCGAGGGGTTCGGATCCCTTCTCCTGAATTGCCTTTTGGAAAAAGGAGGCACGGTCGACTACCAAATGTCAGTTGGAAAGTCTCGATGTTTTTTGGACAGTGATGTCTTACTCATGGGCTGCTCCTTCTTGTTCTTTGAGGCGTGGAGCTTTCCTAGCCTTTGGTCTCTGATCGAGGCCTTGTGAAGACGCTTGGAGTCTCTGGAAAACTCATGAAGGGCTAGGTCATGGCCATTGCGCTTCTTCGCAATGTGCTTGCGAGCCTTTTCTAATGTTGAGGGCATCTTGACGGTACTGGAAAACACAGCGAGTGAGACCGGTTCAGTCCACAGTAAGATTGGTATCTGAGATCAATGATTCCCAGAGTTGAACAAGACGCAGAATGAGATTTGCGATGGCACTGGTTCTGTGAAAGTCGGTCTGTGCCCCACCCGATGAAAATCCCATCCGAGTCTGCAGGTGCGTTTGCTGTGTGCACGGACATTGGATGAAAAGACTCAGTACCTGCTGTCTCCACTCTAACCCCAGGAAGGGTCCAATGGCCTTCAACCAAACCCGGGCAGAGTGACGTTGCTCTGGATATCCCAGTCTACGCACGCTAATCCTTTTTGGGGGACATTTCTCAGCATGGTCCCTGCGTAAAAATAAAGATTTAAAAAAGAAAAAGACAGAGAGAGAAAGAGAACTGGGAGTCGCGATATGAGTCTGACGCGGTGCGGTGTGTCCACCCGCGTTCCAATATAGCAGGCCCAGGTCCCCCCGGGCGATTCCACCGTCCCTTTCCCGTGCAGGAAGCCGTGATTCACTCCACCTGCACACTTTCGCTCCTCCGATCTCAGCATCGTGGTGAATTTCTGTCGACCTCGCCTTTTCCCCTCTTCCAGTTCTCCAACCTGTCGTCGCGTTTCCTCCGTACAAGTGGCATTTCCGAACTCGTCAACGTAGCGCCCGAGTGCTTTGTTTACATTTGCCCCCGGATCACCTGACTTGGCGTTCCGACTTCCACTTCTTACGCGAACAACTTGCCCACGCGTCATTCTCTCTCAACGAATGGACTGAGCATTGATCTCCCTTTGTCGACCCCGGCTTCTGGCCTGTGAATCGGACTGGAGAGACACGTAGGCAACCTTCAGGAAATATTGACTTGCCAACCTTTGAGGACCTACGAACACTTCTCGCGATCAACAATGGGCGTCTCAGGTACATTTCCTCCCTTGCTTCCCGCCTGGCGAACCTCCTTGCTCACCAAGAACCCCTAGGCCTGCTTCCATTGCTCAAGTCCATCCACAGGCCAACCGAGTTGAAGAAATTCGCCGGTGAGACGCTCGGCGTCGACGCTTACGGATGGCTTCACAGAGGAGCCATTGCCTGCGCTGTTGATCTGGCCAAAGGCAACCCCACCCGCAAGTAAGTGGCCCTAGCAATGCGCTGTGCATGGCGCGCTTCCCAAGACGCAACCAAAGGTTTGTATGCCTAACCTTGCCTCAGATATGTCGACTTCGCCATGCACCGGGTGAGGATGCTCAAGCATTTCGGCGTCACACCATACATTGTCTTTGATGGCGATTTCCTTCCCAGCAAAGCCGCCACCGAGGGATCCCGCGCTAAACGTCGTGAAGAGAGCAAGAAGTCTGCCATGGAGCTTCTCAGAGCCGGAAAGTCATCACAAGCAGCCCTCGAGTTTCAAAAGGCCATTGATGTCACACCAGAGATGGCTCGCAATCTCATTGACGAATTGAAAAAGATGAATATCTCGTACGTCGTCGCACCGTACGAGGCTGATGCTCAGCTTGTTTACCTCGAACGCCAAGGCCTCATCAACGGCATTCTATCGGAGGACTCGGATCTTTTGGTTTTTGGTTGCAAGCGGCTCCTCACGAAACTTGACCAGTACGGCAACTGTATCGAGATCAACCGGAGGGATTTCTGTGCGGTTCGGGAGGTTTCTCTTACGGGGTGGACGGATGACGATTTTCGCCGAATGGCCATTCTCAGTGGGTGCGACTATCTCGAGGGCATCAACAATATGGGCCTCAAGACGGCCTACCGGATGATTCGCAAGTACAAGACCATCGATCGACTGGTCCGGATGATCCAGTTCGAGGGCAAGCATCGCGTTTCAGAGAATTACATGTCTCGGTTTGCCCAGGCGGAGCTGACATTCATCCACCAAAGAGTCTATTGCCCGAAAGCGAAACGGTTGGTATGTTTAACAGAACCAGAGGAAGGCAAGGGTGTGGAGGATATGCCGTTCATTGGTGGTTACGTCGAGCCGGCCATGGCTACGGCAATTGCACTCGGAGATGTCAACCCCATCACCAAGGAGACCATCATCCCCGCGCCCATGCCTGGCTCCAAGACCGATACGAAGAGAAGACATTCTCAGTCTGCAGAGGCCCTTGCGGCTGTCTCTTCATCGTCGACTCGCACGCGACAACCGACCAAACCGATTGATTCGTACTTCAAGGGCCACCAGCGTATTCCGATGGGTGAAATGGACCGCAACTGTTTCTCTGTCGACCCAGAGAGAGTTGCCGCTCTGACTCACAATGGCCTGGTACCTAGAGTCTTTCCCCTTCCTAGACCATATATCGATGGCACTTCATCATCACAGCCTACCACCAGCTCTCGCCCGACACGAACCGCCCGTTCAAATACCTCCTCTCGCCTCTTACGACGACGGACCGAGCCCATCCAGGACTTACTGCAGCAACATACTCCTAGCAGCTCTGACGGAACCCGTCGTATCACCGTCGGTGACGCGACAAATACTATAGACGACATTGATGCACTGATGAGAGGCGGTTCCCAACGGCCTCCCAAGAAGGTCCGTCTCTGTGCAGACACAGATATTACCGAAACGAAAACTGAGGAATCCCAAAAGAGCAGGTTCTTCTCCAAGAACGGAACCTCCACCAACAAGAACAAGGACAGTTTCCTATTCTCAGACGACTCCATCGACGAGGCGCTACTGAATCTCCCTGACATTGATGGGTGGCATGCCCCGAAGCCCAAGTCCATCGCGGTCTACGAAGAGAGTCAGAGCACGGATACAGGTACGGAAGCAACTGCCGGTACGGACAGCCAGTTCAGCAAGGACGGAGAAATATCAGCCACGCCACAGACCGATCTGTCCGAAGTAGAAGACGTCGAGCCAAGCAAGCCTGTCTCGTCGCTCCCAGAGAAGGACATAAGACGGACGTCATTACAGCGATTTGCCTTCAGCTCTCAGCCCAGCCCTGCCGCCTCAAGCCAGCCCGACACGCCGAGCACCATTGCCTCCCAGCATTCATCAACTTTCACACCCTCGACCGCTGCTCCCTCCACTGCGGCATCCTCGATCACATTTTCGGCTAGCTCAATCGCAGCTGGGACGTCAAAGGCCACTCCTCTTCTCACCCCGCTACAGCGGATGGGAGCCCGTGCCCTCCAGCGCAAGAACCCGCCTGCCCGGCGGCCCCTGTCTCCTACTAAGAGCACGATACAGCGGAGCCCCAAGCGCAGTCCCCGGAAGAGCCGGCTACTCAAGTCATTCCCCATCAACCCGTCGTTTGTGCCTCTGCCCAAAGTCGATCTGGCCGAGGTGGAGGCTCTGAACGCGCCGTGCGGAAGCGAAGACCAGATCATCCCCGATAGCGACGGCGAGAATGACGACGATGTCTTTGCCCACGACCTCGGCCAGAGGGACGACGGAGACTCCGTGCCCAAGGCGCTGAACCTTTCCCGGTTTGTATACAACTGAAGCAATTGTTAAACACATGTCGATGCGATACCCACAAACGTTGTGTCATTATTTTGTTCTATCCAATTTGGAAGAAGGCGTTTAGAGTCACGCATCATTGAGGCGCCATGAGCGCGACTCCTCCAGGGGAGTTTCCTAGGCACCCGGTCATGTTCTCCATCTCTCCCGACTCAGACCAGGGGCGGTATTTGATGGTCGCCATTCAAGATAAGGTCACCGAGGCGTACAGGCAGGAAGGCATACAGCATGCATTATAATTTGGCATGTTGGAGGTTACAAGGGACTACAGAACATGAGAAGCATGCCGGAAAGTCAAGAGAGACGGGGTAGCCAGGGTTTCTTGTATGCATTGTAATTACTAGGACACCATGGAGTTTTTAAGTAGTGATGACGGGAATACATCATGGCCGGAAGACCTTTTTTTTTCTGATGAAACATGTGTCCCACTTGTGATCGGCCTGCAGCTTGATGGGTCAATGTTAAAGTCATTACTTACCACAACCTACCTTCGCAGTCATCTCTTATCTTTAGGGTTGTCGCTGTGAGGTCGTCCGTCTTTTGAAGGATCTAGCTATACGTTCAATCTCGGCCCGGACCGGGAGCCGCCTAGCGCCCAATCCCACCTTATTACAGCCCTTTCCATATGAGCGTGCAAGGAACCACCAAACAGTACCCGTCGGCCATAAACAGACAGACAGAATTGCAAGTTATCCTGATTGCAAATCCCACACGTCTCATATGTTTCACACATCTACATCAGAAGATGGAATCCGGAATGGAAGACTGGCAAGGACGTGGGTTTGCCCAATGATAAAAAAAAGAAGAAGCCCGCCGTGCCTGGGACACTGGGCATGTAACCTGAAGACCTATACCATACACAATGCTCATGATGCGCAAGCAGTCATTCCCTTGCCTTCCTTTACTATGAAAGAGAGAGGAGAAAAAAAGAATTCCAACTCGTTCCATACTCGGAACACTAAAGTGATGACCCCGAGGCAACAGCCGATCCTTCCCCATGTTGATTCCGTTTCTGGGTCTAATGCCTTCATCTTCCAAGGTTTCCGTCTCAAAACCCACGCCACAAATCTTTTGCGTGACCCTCTGAGTCCACGCTTCTGTGTACATCCATACCAAGCCCAAAAAGCGATCCGCGAGCCTCACGAACCATGCGAATCGTGTTCCTTCACCACGGCAGCCGCCACTGCCTCACCACATTGTCGACAGGGAAGGGCTCGTTGTAGGAGAAGTCGTCGTCGCTGTCTTCATCGAATTCGCGCTCCACCGGGGCCGCATCATCCACGATCTACTGACGACGACTGCTTGTGGCACCGACTGGTGAAGGTCCGTGAAGATCTACGTTAAATGTCCAACGTCCTATTCCGGTCAGTTCTTATTCGATCGGCTTCATATTGCGAACATACCATTGGCCAGGTTGTCTGCAGTGTCTTCAAGCAAGATAATCCTTCGCTTCTTGCAGTATGAAGTCTTGTCCATAATGTCGACTTTCAACTTCTTGTCACAGAGCTCCTGGACGGGCTTCTC